AGAGGTGGCACATCTGCCGTAAAAGTAGTGTTCTATTAATTACCGAATGTTAGTTAACCACATTACTATGAAACTTTATGATAAAGAGGATTATGCCAAATTTATTTAAATTAAATGTATTTATGTCTCTATGCCATTTAAATATTGAATGGCTTTAAAGTTAGGAACTCCATCCTTTTTAATTTATGTCAAGTAGTTTGATATTTTTTTTAACATTCTTTTTTTAATGTGATGTGTGACGATTTTTGAAATTTATGGTTTAAAATAAGTCATAGATATTTGTGTGATTATAAATTATTTCATTGAGGATAATATACACATTTTAAAGTTAAATGGTTATTATATTTAAAAGTATATCATTCTTTTTAGGGTTGACTAAAAAAGAAAAGTGAGTCATATAAATGAATCAAAGAAGTACAAAATAAGTTGATTAAATAAATAGTTGTCACGATCCGAAATCGATAAAGTGATGATACCTACCTCAATCTCACTCAGGGCCGACTTAATAAGATTGGGGCTTAAAGCGAAACTTTAGAGAAGGCCCCTAATATTTTACTTTTTCCATCATATATACTTTTATTTGAAATCTATTTTTCTAGCTTTTAGATGCGAAGTCATTAGTTATTGTTTTATAATCGATTTGTTTTAATAATTCCTTTTCAAATTGATAATATAGTGAATACATTCGGTCTCTCTTGAGACATTATTGGTCTTAAATAAGATTTAATCAATTTTAGTTTTGAAAAACTTCTTTCGGCTTAGGCAACAATTACATGAACTGTTAACATCTTTCTATAAGCAATATATGTATTTGGAGAAAAGAAAGTCTTTTTATTTGATTGAGTATATTTATTAGATCATTATCTTCTACTTGTATATTATTTCTCTTAACACTTTTAATTTAAAAAAAAATCTAAACCATCAATATCAGAATAACTATTATGTGTTAAAGAAAGTTCAAGGTTAAGACAATGTTTTTTTTTAAATTCTCATCACCTACTGAACTCAATTTACCACTAAATAAGAAACCAAAAATATTTTCATATGCTTCAATTGATTCAAATATATTTTGAAGTGAAAAAATAGCTTGATCTACTATATATATATATATATATATATATATATATTATTCAACTCTAATTTCAAGGGGCTTTGTGATTTCGTTATCAATATTTTTTTATCAAATTGTTTCTTACGAAATTCAGGTTGTAACAATTTTCTTAGTAGAAATCATAACACTCACAGTATATATAATTTAAAAAAAAAAACGTTTATAAGTAATTTTTTAAAAAAAATTGAGGCCCAAGAAAATATGGAGCCAAAGCAATAACTTTAACGGCCTAGGGATTAAAACGACCCTGATCTCACAATAGGTAAATCAATCCAAAATAACTTAATCATGACGCGAAACATAAAAACACGGAAGATAACAATCAAGTCAATAACAACTCTTTTTATAAAACTGTAAAAAGAAATGCAGAAAATCCATACAAAATCTTTAGAAACCTGGAATCACTAGTACACGTCTTCGTGAATTCAAATACTCCCTCCGTCCCATTTTATATGTCATCCCTTTCTATAAATAATTGGTCCATAATACTTGTCATTTCATAAAATCAATGCATACATTACAATATTCTTGCTTTTTTACCCTTGTGAGTTATTAGCCTTGAAAAATATACATTTGACCAACTTAGAAAAGCTAAGTAAATGATTCATGTTCATTGGTTAAATTAATTAATCAAAATAAATTAATTCATATTCATTGATTGAAAACTTGAGTTCCAAAAAAATTATATAAGGGTAGAAGAATAAAGTTACATCATTTCTTAATGCAAGTGCAAAGTAAAAATGTGACATATAAAATGAGACGAAGAAAGTACAACTTAACAAATCTCAAATTTGGACTTGACTTCCTATTCACACCTTTAAAACTCAACATCCGATTCATATGTATAATATTGGACAGCGTGCCGCTCTAATCTGTACAAAATACAATGCATTATATACAGATGTGCAACTCTGATCTCAATCAATAAATTCACATTTTAATGCAGTTTATTCATATAAATGTAATAGCTAAATTGTACTATCATTTCAATTTATGTCTTTTTACTCTTCGGTCCATATAAATGTTTCACATCAATTCAAAAATTAACTAGAACAACATCTTCAACATGATATAACTATAATTGGCCAACTTTGAATCCATAAGCAGAGTAAAACCATTAACTAGCTAGGATTAGGGGTGTACAAAATCGAATTGAAAATCGAATCAAATCGTAAGTAAAAAAAAAACTCAACTAGTGGTTTGGTTTGACTTGGTTTGATATTAGAAAAAAAACCCAATTATATTTGGGTTGGTTTGGTTTTAACTAAAAAAATCAATCCAAGATCAAACCAACCTGACATTATATATATAATTTTAAAATTTTATTTTATACGTAAAACCATTTTCTTTGATATAATTTTTAAATATTACTTTTTCATAGTTTTTATCTTTTAATATATTATTTCAAGTTTGAAACTTAGAATTTTGAATGTTCCAATAAAGATTATAGTCCATAGATGTTGGTAATTATAATAAAGCTCAAATCAAAATCTAATTAATACTAATGCTAAAAGAAAATCAATTCAACACTAAGAATGACAATAATATTGAATATTTGTTCTTTAGTTTTACATTGGTTTAGACAATTAAAATACATAATCTATTTTTTTTTAAAAATATTTAGTGATGTAACTAATACTTATTAAACTTATTTTAGGATGATTTAATACTTTTAAATTATGATCAGTTTCATTATGACTTATTATTGACAATATTTGTTTTATGCGATCTCATTATTTTTTTATTGGATATTTTAGTATCATTAATCATCTCATATTTTGTATTATTTTCTTAAAAAACACCTTAGATAGTTGTATTTTGGTAGGACTAAAGAAATATTTGAAGTACAAGTTAATTATATGTTTGTATGAATACTTTATAGGAAAAATCTAAAAAAAACCTAAGGTTGAAAAACCCGAATTTTATTAATTTGGTTTATAAATTTAAAAATTCGACACAAATAATTTAATTTGATATTTGATAAACTCGAACCAATCTGGCCACGTACACCCTTAACTAGGATGTTCATGATAAGCCATAAGTCATGTAATACTATAAAATCAAGGAATTAATCCTAAACAAATCAAACAATAACATAAATTCATAACATGACACCGATGTCAGCATAAATGCTCTTTATTAATTTATTTTTTGATGAATTGACCAAGGTATAACAAAAAAAAGGCAACAAATTCCATCGGTTATGATTTATGAACAATAATTTTCCTATTTATTTTTGTGAGAAATTGAGAGAGTCTGTTGGATTAGTTAGAATGTGATGCAACTAATCCGACTTATATAGTGATCTAGGCTTTCGAAAAATATATTGCAACCATTTTTGCACGGAAGTCCGTCGATTATTTTAAAAAGAAAATTTTAGTATAACTTAGTAGGCGTTTGGAAATGCGATATGAATCGCGATATGAAATCGTGATATGAAATATGGGTTTGGACATGCGATTTCATGTTGATTTCATCTCATGAAATCTTAAATTTTCCAAAAATCACGATTTGGGAATTTTCAAATACAAAAATTGACCTATAAGTTTATATTTTGTAAAAACAACCCACATATATATTTACTAACCACTTATTTCATATGTAAATAAAATTTATAATTCATATCATTACTTTTAAAACCATTTATATCTCAAATACTGATTATTCTTACTATCATAACATTTATTATTATTTCAAATCAATTTCTACTTTATCTTTTATATTCACCAAATTCATTATTTTTTATCAAATATATTTACCAATCAAATTGATCAACAAATAACTTAAATTAGCATGTTCACGTAATTAACCAAAAATTCTGGAGAAATTCTGATTAAAAAATAAAAGACAGAGAGAGGGTACTTCTGCTATTTCCAAAAAAATAATATTATATGACTGTGGTGCTAAAATTTTTGGCCGAAAAAGGGTTAAATAGTCATTTTAAACGTGACTAATGTCAAAAAAAAAAAAAAACAATTATATGTGGCCAAATTTTCTTCTTAAGATAATAATGAACTTAGCCTAGTCTCATGCTTAGGGCTGTACAAGTCAAATCGAAACGACGAATCAAATTAAACTAAAAAAGAAAACGATTTGTGATTTGATTTGGTTGGTTTGGCGGTTGAAAAAAAACTCGACCACTCTTGGTTTGATTTGATTTTAAAAGAAAAAGAGTCAAATCGAACCCAAACCAAACCGACATAATATATATATAATTTTTTTTATTTTATTTATAGATAAAAAATATTATTTATAACCTACTTTGTTAATATATTTTTAGTTACTTTATAGTGTTCAATGTTTATATATTTTATTTCAAATTTGGGCTTGGAAAATTTATAATATATATATATATAAATTTATTTTATTTATAGATAAAAAATATTATTTATATGTTAATATTCAGTTTGCATGTAGCTTTTAATCTTATTAATTTAACATAATGAGCGTTGATATTTCACAAAAAATATTTTGTACTCATGTGAATTTTACCGTTTTTTCGAAAATTTCTATTCATTTAACATTTTTTAAGTTTAGCTTATCACACATGTAAGTGAAAATATATTTGATCTCTTTTTCAAACACCGTATAGTTGCAAAAAATCAAAAAAACCGAAACCGAAAAAACCGACTTTATGTGGTTTGATTTGATTTTTAGATTTAATAAACCGACATAATTGATTTAATTTTTTATTTTTTTATTTTATGAAAAGCCAAACCAAACCGACCTATGTACACCTCTTCCATGCCCAATTCTAACCGAAGTATATTTGGACGGGATCGAATTGATCGGGTCTTAATTCGATTGTTATGTTAATTAATTATAATCTATTCAAAATTGATTTTATTCTTATGCACGACCCTAGTGAATAAGAATTATTAGATGTAGAATGAAGTTAACCGAAAGCTCCTCAAAGCAACTCATCAAACTCAATTGCCTTCTTTCAAACTTCACTCATTCCCACCAATTCTCCGATGCTCTCTCTCTCTTCAACCAAATTCACTCTTCCCTTCATCTCCGACCAGATCATTACACCCTTTCAACCACTCTCACCGCATGTGCCAACATTGTAAACACTAGCTTCGGCAATCAGCTCCACGGTTTCGCCATTAAAACAGACCTTAAACAATTCCCACATGTATCAAATTCTCTTCTTTCATTCTACGCCAAATCTAAAGATTTGGGTTCAGTTAAAAGGGTCTTTAAAGAAATTGAAACCCCAGATGTTTATTCTTGGACTACGCTATTGTCTGCCTGTACTAAGTTGGGGGAAGTTGGGTATGCTTGTAAGGTGTTTGATGAAATGCCGCAGAGGAATTTGGCTGTTTGGAATGCAATGATTACTGGGTGTGCTGAAAGTGGGTATCACGGGATTGCTTTGAATTTGTTTCAAAGAATGCATTTTTTAGGTGTTAGATATGATAATTATGCTTTTGCTAGTGTTTTAAGTTTGTGTGATATGGAGTTATTGGATTTCGGAAGACAAGTGCATTCGATGGTCATCAAGACGGGTTTTTTGGTAAGAGCTTCAGTGATTAATGCTTTGGTTACCATGTATTTTAACTGTAATAATGATTTTGATGCTTTTGGAGTATTTGAAGAAGCTGAGGATGAAGTGCTTGATCCTGTAACTTATAATGCAATGATAGCTGGTTTAGTGAGTATGGAAAGAGCTGAGGAGGCATTAGTAATGTTCAAGGATATGCGTAAGTTTTCTTTGAGACCTACTGAGTTCACTTTTGTGAGTATAATGAGTTCATGTTCATGTATTAGAATTGCTTCTCAACTGCATGCTCAAGTTGCTAGAATAGGTTTAGAAAACTATACGTCTATCGCTAATGCAACAATAACCATGTATGCTAGTTGCGGGAACTTGAATGCAGCCTTTTTAGTTTTTGAAAGACTGAAGGTGAAGGATAGCGTGTCGTGGAATGCCATGATTACAAGTTATGCCCAAAATTGTTTGGACAGTGCAGCAATTTCTGCATACATTCAGATGCAGAAGGAAGGGTTAGAGCCAGACGAGTTTACGATAGGAAGCATACTCGCAAGCTCAGAGTCTCTAGTAATTGTTGAAATAATTTTGGGTGTTGTTTTGAAGAAGGCCCTTATCTTGAAGACTGAAGTATCTAATGCGCTGCTCTCTGCCTTCTGTAAGCATGGTGAAATGAAGCAAGCTTATCAAGTTTTTCATGACATGTTCCCTAGAAACATGATCTCTTGGAATACTTTGATTTCTGGTTGTCATCTCAATGGACTACCCATGGGGTGCTTGCACCTCTTCTCTGAGGTTGTGAGTGAACGTTTGATGCCTAATCCTTTTACTCTAAGCATCATTTTGAGTGTTTGTGCCAGCATTTCAGCTCTACAACAAGGGAAGGAGATTCATACTTACATTCTCAAATCTGGATTCATTTCAGAAATATCTTTAGGAAATGCCCTCATTACATTGTATGCAAAATGTGGACTGTTGCATTGGTCTCTAAAGGTGTTCCAGATAATGACACAAAAAGACACAGTTTCTTGGAATTCAATTATTACTGCATATGCACAGCATGGGAAAGGCAAGGAAGCTGTACATTGCTTTGAGATGATGCAAGAATTAGGTGGGGTCAAACCAGATAACACGACCTTTAATGCAGTTCTATCAGCTTGCAGCCATTCAGGCTTAATCGATAAAGGCATTGAAGTTTTTACCTCCATGGTTCATACCTACGGTATAGAACCTACAGCAGACCACTTCTCTTGCATTGTTGATCTTCTAGGTCGGGCTGGATATCTTGATGAGGCAGAAAAACTGGTAAAAGATAGGCATGTTGATGTAGATTCCACTGTTTGGTGGACATTATTCAGTTCATGTGCTGCTTATGGCAACGTTAGACTAGGCAGAATTGCTGCGGGATTTCTGCTTGAGACTGAGAAGAATAACCCCACGGTGTATGTGCTTTTATCCAATATTTATGCTAGTGCGGAGAACTGGGAGGACTCTGCTAATGTGAGGAAACTGATGAATAAATGTGGAGTGTTAAAGCAACCAGGAAGCAGTTGGATAGGGTCCTAACACTCATTTCGTTAATGCTGGATATCTTGACATGATTGGTTTCGAAGTTCAACCTTACTTATCAAACGGAGATTGTTCATGGTGGAGGAAAGGTACTATGTCTTTAAGATTTAGACTAGCAATGTAAATGGAACATTGGAACTTTCTGATCCATTCCTGCAGGACTTGGGGTAACAGGTAGTCTTAGTCCTACATTTTCCACTTCAGCTCTGTGCCAGGCATGCTATGCTCCTCGCAAGTGCCAATGACTCCCTAGTCCACTCCACCAGCGAGCTCTTTCCTCTGCATCCTTCCCCTTCCTTCTGCTCATGTTGTAAATTCTTTGATGATGACTAATTGGTGAATAGCTTATTGGCTGAAAATGTTTTCTTGGACGATTTTAAGGAAATTTTTGCACTGTGGTTAGCACTCAATGAATGTACTTGAACTGGGCAATTGCATGATGCGATTGCCATACCAAAGGACAATTGATCCATCAAAAAGGTATGTGTTCAGAATAACGAATAACCATTTTTCAAGTACAGATATCTTTGACAACTGTTATGTTTCCGATTGAGCTTGTATTGGTCCCTACTGGATCAGAGGGCACCGTCCTTTCAAGGGTCTTTGTGCTGCCTGTGTTGTTAGTTCTCTTATGGCACTTCGAACAAGTCAATAACCGTTGAGGTTGGACTTGTCTCTTTGAAGATTATAGGGACCAGAGCCGAGGCCTATTTGTCTCACCTGCTTCAGGGCTTAACATTTGCCAGAAAAACCCCATTTATTTGCAACCACTGAAAGGGACTTGAAAAAGAGAATCCTTGTTGGTTGCCCTGTTGTATCATTAGTATAATTACGTCTGAATATTTTCTGAATTCTCTTGTAATTTATAGTCTATAGCAAATTTAGAACACTTTTGGAGGAATAATTGTAGGTAGTGCTTCTGTAGAACGGTGAAACTGAATTACGCAAGAGTTCATGTGTATCAATTTCAAGTTAAACAAATTTTCACCAGTGGCTTAATCAGCTCACAATTTCCTTTATTTTAAATCACAGCTTGTACTGTTGTGGTCCAAGTTTTGTTTTTCTTACATTGTTAATGCAGCTTATTTCTCCATTCTCTTGATGCTCAATATTGTGGTTAGTGCTGGGACATCTCTCTAATTGACTTAATTTACTTTTTGACTTTATATGACAAGCTTATTGATTTTTTTTGTTATAATGGAAACACCGACTTGGCAAATAAAGATACTTGTTCATTCATGTGATATATAAATAGGTACTTTGCATGTGGGGAACACATATTTGGTGTGTAATATATAAATAGTCAAATGGTTCTGAAGAAGCTACATATTAGTACTCTTAATGCATCCAACTTCTACTGATTGACAATTTTCTAGTCAGAACTAATAAAAGTATTATTAATAATAATCTACTTATATTTACTTGTATAATTTTTATTTAATCTACCTATAAAGTAATATTCTTGCTAGATACTTAAGTGAGATGTTAGTCCACCTCACTACTAAATGAGAGAATGTTGTTAAAGCTTAGTTGTTGACTAACTCACTCTAAGGTGTTTGTTAGAAGTTTGGATTCCTTATTTATCGCTTGCCTTAAGGTTGGGATGAGTTTAATATTCCTGCACCAGAAATCAAACTTCAGAATTTTTTGGTTTTTTACAAGGTTTAGTAAAATTGCACTTAGTATTCTTGGCTGATTGCTTTTGATGCTCTAGACTTGAGCAATGACCAAAAGTGTGATAGACTTAATTTACAGTTACATTTTAATGATACTCGAGTTGATCTGTCAGTGTTCCGATACTCTTTGACTTCAGTGTTTTTTTAAACGATGCCTCATTGCTCCTTGTTCAATGTGATGCATGTAGCCAGAGTATCTTAACTCTAAATTGGTTCAAATAACAATCAAATTGCCCTCAGGGCTTAGTTCAAGTGGCAAAGGTAGAGGGACTTGTGACGTAGGTCACATGTTCAAGCCCTGTGCCATACGAATGAAGCTTGGATTTAAATGGAGAAGGTTAGAGAGGTGGAGCCATTACCGCTGAGTTTCGGAGGCTGCAGTTGGCCCATCAGAGTTAGATGATTCACCTAATCCTCCAGAATAAAAAAAAAAGTATTGTGTGTGTGTGTGTGGGGGGGGGGGGGGGAGGGGGGTGGTAGGGGGC